TTCAGTGTACTGGTTGGCTACCATAAGGACAAAAGTGATGAGGAGGCCATCTTTCTTTCTGCTGCTTCTGACTTTCACTCTGCTGACAAGCAAAGTCATGGAGACACAGGGTTTTTCTACAGCTCCAGTGTTCAGTCTTGACCGTGGGAGCTAAGAGGCAGTTATTGCAGTATTGACAACAACTTCTGATCCTGGCTTCCTGACAGGCTGATCACAGCTAGCTGGTAGTTTCTTGAACTCAGTGTTGCTATTGTGGATTCCACCCTCCTTCAAGGTAGAGATCCCCATGACTGGTTAGTTCTGCAGGGTCTGACAGTTATTCAAACAGGCCCAGTCTTGATCCTGCTCTTGCAAACTTTCAATGGTTTTGGAAGCAACTAATTTCTCTAAGTAAGTCCTTACAAACAACAACATTAATAATACAATTTTCATTCATATACAGAGTACTCATGATTTCCTTATCTTTGCTCTATTAGTTGGGGTTAAGTGCAAAAAAAGAGAAACTCTGTATACATTAACAATGATTTAATTAGGGGAATGATGAAGCAATTACCATTTCCGTTAAAAACTCAAAGTGACTTTAAAAATTTTTCTTAGTCTAATATTAGCATGCTGAAAATTCCTGTATTATACTTTGCAAAACAAAATATCTGCTTATTTTTTAATAATACATACTCATTGTCCTATTTATGCTGTTTGCTGAGTGGAAGTCTAAAGAATTAATTCTAAAATTCTAAAATTCTAAAAAGAATCAATTTTAAAATATTAAATGAAATTTTAAATAAATTTAGGTTTATTTTGATTTAAACATATTTACATTAAATTTTTTCTTTGTGATAACAGCATTAAGTCACTGACATTATCAATTAACATATTTTAAAGTGCTTTTATAAAAACAATGCCCCAGAAGGCCTGGCCATTATTTTCTATGCTTCCCTACAATTTTTTCTTTTCAGTTTAGTCATATATATATACTTAACATACCAAATGGACCCAGAGGAAGTGTTATTTAAAACAAAAACCTAAATGTATCAGTGTCCAGTTTGCATACCTCTGATCAATGGGAATATACATTTACATACTATTCCTTTCCACTTCCTGGGATGGTAGCTCCCAGGAAACTGAACGCTTCAAGTCCCCACCTATTCATCAGTCCTCCAGTGAGGGTATCAAATCACAGAACTCTTTGCTTAGCAGAGCATGGTAATGAGTTTTTATATTTATGTATCCAAAGGAATCTTATAAAGAGTAAAGACATCAAATTCTCTACTCCATATAGCAAAATTCTGAGTTTCAGAGGCAGCCCTGGGGAGAAGTGACAGGGTCAAGGGCTAAAGAGCAGTTTTGCTTTGACAAAAGAAAGGGAAAGAGGCAATATCCTTCATTTGAGAAAGAAATAAAAGCCAAGTGACAGGAATGAGATTGCAAACTCAAAAGGAAATCAGAGCAACAGGAGAAAACTCACCACTACCACCATCAAAGATATAAATGGGGTGATGAGAAGAATGCTTGAGCTATTTTTATATAGATATTACACGGATGGAAGACCCAGAATGTGACATTTGGGTTATACTTGTAAACTTAGTCATTCTTAATGTTGCTATACACAGCTGGGGAGAATGGGCGGCAGGTGGTTAACAAGGAGCGGAAGATAATCTACAGAATATAGACAGGGTGGAAGTGGGGGGAATGATTTAGGAGGCTTTTGCAACAACAGTTCAGGCAGGAAGTGATAAAGACTTGATCAAAGCAATGGCAGTAGGAAAGATGAGGAAGAGAAGATTCCAAACACCTCAGCTGTAGACTCAACAGGATTGTTGACTGACCAGTTGGGATACCTTCAAGGTTTCTAGCATGAGTGATTAAGTGAACAGTGATGTAGTTATGAGTTTAAAAATACAGTAAAAGGGACAGATTTTGCCAGGGAAATGGTGATTTCTAGTTGGCCGTTAATTGGAGATATACAGAAGACAGTTAGAAATATACATTTATGCAGTATTTTGGAATTAAGCTATTAACATGAATAAGAATCTCCAGAATGTATAGAGAAAAGGGAAGAAGATGAACATGGAAGCATGGTGACCATGAACATTGACAAGCTAGGTAAAGAAAGGGGAGTCAAAAGAGAAACAAGAAGGAAGAACCCAATATCACAAATGCCAAAGAAGGAGCATAAATTAAGTGCATGGTCAATATTGTCAAATCCTTAATATGACGCTACAAAAGAAGCTATTGAACTTGACGTGAATATTAATGGATGGTGGAGGTAGAAACCGAAGTGTTGTAGTCTAAGGATGAATATCAGTGAGACTATGGGGACATTAAATTAAATCTCTTCTGTACAAAAAGGTGATAGAGCAGTAGCTAGAGAGGAAGTCATTTTCCACAAAGGGTTTTCATTCCCCATCATAGTCCTAACCTAGTATTTTGCCTCCTGTATGCACTGAACATCTGTTAAATGCAGTAATATTTTTGTTTATGAACCAGATTTCCTAGAAAAGGAGCCAGTATTCTCCAAATGCATGCATGGAAGCTCATGCATGCATATGTGCATGTTGACTCTTGGGTGACCCCCATGGATTGCAGCCCACCAGGCTCCATGAAATTTTCAAGGCAAAAGTACTGGAGTGGGTTGTCATTTCCTACTCCAGGGAATCTTCCCAACCCAGGGATCAAACCTGAGTCTCTGGTGTCTCCTGCATTGGCAGGTGGATTCTTTATCACTGAGCCACCTGGGAAGCCCATTCTCCAAATACAACAGTACAAAACAGATCTACCCTCATTCTGGATGGGGAGGCCTGAAGGAAATAAAGAAGTTTCATATTGTGTTTTCTTGGGTTAATAGGTAAGAATCACTTTTTACTTCACCCCTCTCTGACTACACATACCTTGATTCTAGATTCTAGATGGAAAAGGAACCAAAGGACTTGCTGATCCTGTTCCTGGAGGGCAGAATTTCATAGTTCAAAAATGAACTTCAGCTATCTTATTTTATAAAAGAATAGGCATCAAGATGAGACTATTTGCCTTAATTGCCTATTCAATTGCTATTAGATTACATACATACTATGGTAAACAGAATTTTTTAATGATATATGTTCAACATAACATTAAGAGAAAAAGGCATGTTATGCAATATGATCTCAATTGGAGGAAAGGGAGAAATATATAAATATAAATACACACAAAGTATAAATAAATACTAGAAAAAAAAGAAAATAAACTAAAATGATAACAGATCTTTGAGTGGTAGCATTAGGGATTTTTATTTCCTTCATCTTGCTTTTCTACATTTTTCCAATTTTCTACTATTTAAAATATTTAAAACTTCCATTAAAGTCGTGAGAATTTCCACCTAGAACCACTTACTAGCAATTTAAGCCCATTATCTTTATCTGGGCAACTCTAAAATAACAATGATGACACCACCCTTAGGGAAGAAAATGAAGAAGAAATAAACAGCCTCTGGATGAAGGTGAAAAAGCTAACTTAAAACTCAGCATTCAGAAAACTAAGGTCATAGCATCCGGTCCCGTCACTTCATGGCAAACAGTAAGGGGAAACAATGGAAACACTGACAGACTTTATTTGGGGGGGGCTCCAAAATCACTGAAGATGGTGACTGCAGCCATGAAATTAAAAGATGCCGGCTCCTTGGAAGAAAAGCTCTGACCAACCTAGTCAGCATATTAAAAAGCAGAGACATTACTTGACCTACAAAGGTCCGTCTAGTCAAAGCTATGGTTTTTCTAGTAGTCATGTATGGACGTGAGAGTTGGACTACAAAGAAAGCTAAGGGCCAAAGAATTGATGCTTTTGTATTGTGGTGTTGGAGAAGACTCTAGAGAGTCCCTTGGACTGCAAGGAGATCAAACCAGTCCACCTAAAGGAAATCAGTCCTGAATATTCATTGGAAGGACTGGATGCTGAAGCTGAAACTCCAATACTTTGGCCACCTGATGCGAAGAACTGACTCACTGGAAAAGACCCTGATGCTGGGAAAGATTGAAGGCAGGAGGAGAAGGGGAGGACAGAGGATGAAATGGTTTGAAGGCATCACCGACTGAATGGACCTGAGTTTGAATAAGCTCTGGGAGTGGGTGAGGAACAGGGAAGCCTGGCCTGCTGCAGTCCATGCGGTCGCAAAGAGTCAGACACGACTGAGCGACTGAACTCACTCACTCAAAATAACAATAGTTATAACTAGTGTCCAAGGACCCTTTGGTCTTCTTAATTTCAACTTCTTAGATGTTCTCTATTTATCTTATTAGTTCCTCGTACCTCCCTGAGTTCTGACGCTTGGATTCTAAAAGTGCGTTTTGAAAGAACCAACGTGGAAAATGGAATGCGGAATCCAAAGTTTGTGTCAGATGAGCCCAACTACTCTCTACTTTGCATGGGGGAAGATAATTGGTCTTCAATCTAGGATGTGCCATCTACTAACTGTAGAGCCTTAGATAAACCAGTTCATATCGCTGCACCTCCGCGGTCTCAGTTTTCCCTCCTTCAAAATGGGATTAGTAGGATTTACAAATGGGGAATGGATGGGGCAGGGCTCACTGGCAAGAAAGGAAGTATCACAGTCAAAGACTGTCTAGAATTCCACAGGTCCCAGTAAATCCTAGGGGGAAAGCTCCACCCCAAACCTACTGACTCCGAGGGGGTGGGACCCCGGAATCTGTATTTTAACAGTTTGCCAAGTGAGTCAGATGTCTAGTCAAGAGGACTCTTTCCAGTCCTCCAGCTCTTTGATCCACTTATTAACTTCCTTCTGCTCCCAGCGATTTCCAGTTCCCGCAAAAAAAAAAAAAGGAGCCGAGGAAAGAGGGGAGAAAAACCATATCCAGGGTCGGAGTGGCCGATACCGATCACTTGCCAGCTTCCCTCCTTCCCCGGCGCCAGCCGCCAGGTTACATAACGGATCCCGCGGCGCGCTCTCGCGAGGTTTCCACCGCCCCCGCCTCGCTCCACGTCAGAGGGAACCGGGCGGAGCGGCCAACATGGCGGAACGCAGGCGACACAAGAAGCGGATTCAGGTAGCAAAGCCGAACCCTGGGGTCGGGAGCTTTAGGGCGCTCGGAAGTGGAAGATGCTGGGAAAGCTCCCGGGAAGGGCGAGCGAAATCGAGGACGAGGTGGGGTGGGGTTCCACCGCGAGGCCGCAGGTTGTGGGCTGCGTCGTTGTGAGGGGCCTGAGGAAGGGCGGCGTTGGAGACGGCGGAGACAGGCGGAGGTTCTTGGGCTGCGGCGGAAGGCAGAAGGCGCTGCGCTCGGAATCGGCCGTGGAGGCGCGGCCGTCAGTTCAAGGTTCCGGTGGAGGCGCCGGCCTGGGCCTGTGCTGGGAGGTCAGCGCTCTCCGAGCACAGACATCGACCCTCCCGAGCTCCTCCCCTCCCTTCTCCACCCCATCCTTTCGCCTTAGCTGTCCCGAAATTGAGGCCACGGTAACTAGGGTAGAAGAAGGCGGAGGAGTGATCTAAAGCTGCCCGTTCTTTGTGCGCGGATAGAAGGACCGTAGGAGGTGGGAGTGAGCGGGGTTTGGTCAGCTGCCCCGAGGCCCAGGCGGCGAACTGCGTATCCAGGTGTTCGTTTGCTTGTACCCTTCTTTCTCCTTTTTATTATTAACGTAAGCGTCCAGCTGAAGCTTTGTGGCTTTCTTTCAGCGACACAATGTAAATAAACAAAACTCTGGGTATGGCAACGAGCGGGTCGCGCCCAGGAACCTTTGACATGGCAGGGTGTCATCCTCATAACCTACATAGCATCCCTCCCTCATTCCACAGGCCTGTCATCTGTGTATTTCTTCCCTACAATTTTCCCCTGTTGTTCATGCTCTCTGCTGAGAGGATTAAACATGTGGAACATCTTCGACTCACGATGTGTCTCTCCTTGTTAGTTTATGTGCCTAGAAACCTTCATATCTCATCATAAATTGGGCATGTTGTAAATTGTTAATATGCTAATCACAAATTGTTACACTCAGTTTCTTTCTGTTCCTTACTATTTCATTGCTTAGAATGACTTTCCGTCTGATGTTTTATTTCCCCATTTAAAAAAAAGTTTATCACTTAACTTACATCACGGGTGATTTAGGTATGCAAGTTAAAATTATCCTTAAAAGTCTGAAGTACTAGGGGAAAAAAGATGCCAGTGATCTGTAAATCTGGAATCTTGTAATTGGGCAGAAATAAGAGAGTAGTTTCAAATAGAGTACAGAACGGGACCAGAAAGAGAAAAATCCTGCCCCCTCCCCCAAGTTCAGATGGGCCATAAAACCAAAGCTTAAGTTTATTGTGAAAGAAGTTTATAATTATACTATTCCTAGTCTTTCAAAATGTAATGTTACTGGTCAGTTCTGGATACATAATATTTTCATTAGAATTTGTATTGAAGTTGTGAAATTAGTACTTACTGAATTTCTTATATTTACACATATGGTACATTTTATGACCCTAAATAAACATTTTTTTTTTTTAATTTCAACTGTTCTTTACTGTGGTCACAAAGGTGATCCTAATTTACTTTGAATAGCTGCTCTATTTCAATTGTGATCTCATATTAAGCAAAAAGATAGATTAAAAACTGGTATAGCAGTGGTGGTGACTGGAAGCTAAAACTTGAGCCATACTGTGCCAGTTTGTACCCCAGTGTCAGTAATTATTAGCTGTGTAACTTTCCAAATCCATAAGAAGGAATATTTACCTTGAAAAGGGATCCTCTTTGGGTTGTGGTGGGAAAAAATAGGTGAGTGAATGACTTGTTATTAAAGGTTATAAAAGCTATGAAAATAGTATTTGGCACATAACTCCTTTTTCCACCTCCCGGAGGATGAAGGGCTTAGGATAATTTTTTTTGGTTTTTGCTAGGCACTGCTGAAGAAAGATTAACAGTTACGTATTCAGTAAATAAACCTTTGAGTTGTGAGTGCTATAAAAAATTTTTACTATTGTTTAATTGTGGATTAGCTAAGTATGTAAGGATCTGATTGTTAAAAATCAAGTTGTTATACTGCTAAGTGAAAATAAATGACACTTCTCAAATCCTCCAAATCCTCCAAAAAATCCTATTGTAAGACTTTTGGACAAAAAGTTCTGTAATATCAACTCCATTTCCTGTTGTTTGTTACTTGATGTTTCGTGTTTACAAAAGATTTTTACCTATAATAGAATTAGTGACCTTGAATTGTAATTTGTATGTTGGGGGAAAGGATTGCTACATGTAAGTTAAGGGTTTTAAAAAGTAGTTAATTTGTATGCTTTTTCTGGGATAGCCTAATTTTAGATTTCTGGTATTCTATCAAAGTTAGAAGCAAGAGGACTTTTTTGTCACATTTCCTTCTTGGACTCACTTTACTGGCCACTGAAAACCAAAAGTGAGCTATGTGTTCATTGACATTACATTGGGAAGTTTTCTTGTTTGAGATTCCCGAGAGAGTAATCTCAATTCAAATTAATAAAATATTTGAAAACAAATAATTGTTAGTTTTCTAAGATATGCAACCATGTAAGTTCAAGAACATACAATAAGTGCTTATAGGTTAACAAAGTGCTGTTTACTAGAAAGGTTAGTTTAAAATCCTGGTACCATCAAATTTTAGAGTTGAAAAGGAATTTCAAACTGGGTTTTTTGGAAACCTCAGTAGCCACTACTATACTACCATTATCCCTCATCCTTTAAGCTACTATGTAACTCTAAGCAAATGATTTATTCAAGATCTCTGGCTTTCAGATTTTAAGTTGAAACCTACTTGCATTTTCACAGATACTTTTAACTGCTTGTGAAAGTGTTCCTCGCTCAGTCGTGTCTGACTGTGACCCCATGGGCGGTAGCCCACCAGGTTCCTCTGTCCATGGGATTCTCCAGACAGAAATACTGGAGTGGGTAGCCATTCCCTTCTCCAAGGGATCTTGCTGATCCAGGGATGGAACCCTGGTCTCCCACATAGCAGGCAAATTCTTTACCATCTGAGACAATACTACTTGTATAAAAATACAAATTGACAGTTGGTGCCCTAATCTATTTCTTTTGCTCAATTTATTCAACAAGCTTATTTTTTACCTAAGATTATTTCTGTTGAATAAATCAATTTAAAAATTTTTTCATCATTTTGAGGGTAGGAGAATGAGGGGGCAGAAATTCTAAGTCAAAAGTTCTGTAAGATTGAAGCCCATGGCTTACTGACTCTTGATCTAATTTTTTTTTTCTCAAAAAGTTTACCTTAAGTACCAGCTAAAATAATATATAGCTAGAAATGGTAACCCCAGTTTCATTGTAGTATTTTTTAATGTTGATATATTCTGAAATAAAAATAGTATTTGTTAAATAATTTAAAAAAAGTTCTGCCCTAACTTTCCATTTTTGTAATTTTGGACTGTGAGTTGCAACCACTGGCATCTTGGTGTTTGGGTTGGCAGTCCACCCTCAAAATGTATTGATTCTTTGCTTGCTCATTCTAAGATATTTGGGCTCATTCATTGAGCTACAGAGTTCTCTTTATTTGAGGGTTAATAAACTGGTTTCTCTTTTTTAGTGGGTGATGCTGTTCCCAAACGGCCTTCAATTTTGTCATTAGATTTTTAGAAAAGTTAGGAAAATATTCTGAAGATTTATTCACATCCAAAGGGAACAAAGAGGGGAGTTACTATAGTCTAATGTATATATAGACAGGAAGAGGATAAGACTGTTAGCCTGCAGCAGGGGAGCAGTGAGAATGAAGATTCCATGGCAGACTCTTCTGTATTACTAGCTTTCCAAGTCATGTAATCTTGGTATGCTTCAATAACAATCTTTCTGGCTTCAAAGCCCCAGCAGATGGCACAAATCCTAAAATCTCAGAGGCAGCCTACAATATGTATAAGTTATATGTGGTATAATGAACATGTCATATTTCACAGAAGATAATAGAAGTTTTTTAAGGATTTGAACTTGGAGGAGCAAGGAAGATATCAGTTCTGTTGTACAAATATCTTGTTAAGAATGCTAGTCAGATGTTTTAGGGAAGTTACTGATACTTTAAGCAAGTATCAATGAATAAGGAACTCTGTGTCTAGTTGAGAGAGATTATCCAAGTCCATGTTTTCTGGGCCTTTTCTGTTTATTCATGCCTCAGTTCAGTTCAGTTGCTCAGTCGTGTCTGACTCTTTGCGACCCCATGAATCTCAGCACAGTAGGCCTCTCTGTCCATCACCGATTCCTGGAGTTTACTCAAACTCATGTCCATCAAGTGGGTGATGCTATCCAGCCATCTCATCCTCTGTCATCCCCTTCTCCTCCTGCCCCAATCCTATTCATGCTTAGTAGTGCCTTTACCAAGGATGGGAAGAAAAGGAAGATAGAATGCTTGAGTATGTTTTTGCAGTTGTGGAAAAGAGCCTGGTGAACTTGAGTTAATTGTTAAAATGAGGTTTTTAAACTGTTGTGGATTCATGTAGAATCAGATTCCCTACTGTATAATAATAGAGTGAACTTTTCAGTTTCTTTTGTATCCTTATAACATATTTTACATGTGATGCCTGTATCAGCAGTCAGTAGATTGGTACCATGTTTAGTTAGTGGTTTGAGTGTTAGTATGAGTGTAGACTTGTCATGCCTAAGGTTGATGTGATTGTTTCCTCCCCAGAATAACCTTCATCCTGAAATTCTGTTATTGAAAAACTGTCCTTTTAGTTGATCAGACTAGAAATTTGACATCTTTTACTAAGTAATTTCATTCATCCTTTATCTTTGAGTCCTTCCTATCTGTTCTACATTTGAAATGTTTCAAATATCAAAATCCTTATTAGTCCAGAGTATCATATCACATCTTACTTGAATACTAACTAGTTTCCCTGCCTTATGCATTTATTCTCCAGTTCATTCTACATGTAGGCTCCAAAATAGAATCTCAGTCATTTTTTTTCTCATTATGTCCTCCTCCTAGTCAAAAACTTTCTGTGACTTACAGGGTAAATTTGAAATTTCTCAGAATGCTTTGAATAAATAGTAATTTAACCCTATTATACTTACACCTACTTAGCCTCACAATGCTTTCTAACTGTCTCTAATGAAACCAAAATTTTTTTTTCATTTATTTTTATTAGTTGGAGGCTAATTACTTCACAACATTGCAGTGGGTTTTGTCATACATTGACATGAATCAGCCATGGAGTTACATGTATTCCCCATCCCTGAAACCAAATTTTATGCTCATTTTCAGCCACAGTTTTTTATACTATTAATTCAGCTTATCCTAAATTTGTTCATCTTTCAGAATCTAGGTCCCTCTTCCAGGACATCTTTTATAGCTCCCATTTTGTACCCCTAAAATATTTTTTCTGCCACTCATTTTGAAAAATAACAGTTGTTGTTTTGGATAGTTATAATGTAGGTATTGTGCCCTTAGCAAATTTTTAGTATTAACTGTAGCACCCAGTGGTATTTTAGGGTAAACAACTCAGTAAGTGTATGTTTGAACAATTTACGTTTATCATGACTTCTCCCCCATATATCATTTTTAATCAAGCATATCCTTATAAATAACAACTTAATCAGTCAACTGGATAAATCTTTAGATTGACAACAGATGTATTAACTGAGGGAAAAATTAAACATATATGGGTATGATTATAAAGTAGAATTGGTCTCTATAAAGCCAATTATACTATCTTATTATTTCCAACTATTTATATAGTGTGACTTTTTTGGCTGTAAATGAACATACAGGATATTGTTTACTAATAGATGAGGCTTCTAGAAATTCAGTGTGTTACTCAGGCATAATTAAATGCTATCATTTTACATATACTAATGTATTTTAGTGTGATTTCAAAAACCAAAATATAGAATACTTTTTAGCTTGTGAGAACTATTTTGTGAAAGTGAAAGTTGCTCAGTCTTGTCCGGCTCTTTGCGACCCCATGGGCTGTATAGTCCGTGGAATTTTCCAGGCCAGGATACTGGAGTGGACTGGACCCCAGATTAAATAATTATGAACACTGTAGATGGTAGTAAACTTGGTAGTGTTAAAGTTTGAATTTACAGTTTTTTAAGATTCTGTTTTTCTGCGATACTTGTTTTTACATATAAAACTAAAGGTCTTTTATTCTTATAAATATTTGGTTTTTATTATAGTCTTCATTTGGATTGAATGTTTGGGGTTTTTAGTTT